ATTTCTCTGCGTAAGTTTCATCAATATTAATAGGTAGGTATAGTCAGAGAAATTTCTAACTCATTCACTCACACAACCAAAATTAAACAGAAATGAAAAGCTCGTTTTAACTTTCGAATCTCATAAGCTAAAATAGTTTAATGGGCTTTTAATCGAAGTTATTTCGTAAATTTCCGAACGACGTACGTTAGTATTGGGTAGATAAGAAGCAAACGCAACAACAATTATCAGTATACGTGTAGCATACAAAAATGTATTGTAGTTAGAATAAAATCGTTACGCCGATACTACGTTCATTTCAGTTTACACCCGAATTGCAGTGGCCACTGTCAGTCTCAGACGCAACTTTGGACGTATGCTCATCTCCTACGGGAGAGACGTCTTCCGTCTTGATCTAGTTTCAATATCGTGTGATTTTCATTGCTCAACTCAAAAAAAGGTCAAAGGAAATATTTAATAAACTCGGTAAGTTCTTCATTTTTTTATGCTCTTAAAGGTTATATTATAAAAGATACATACTCACTATTAATATTCATAGACACAGGCACACAAAGCCTTTTTTTTTCATACAATATTTTCATATAATAAAGCTCCCGTGTACGAAATTTAATTAGCAAAAACTGTAGGAATACAATTAAAAACCTACTCCCATCCAAAAAATTGAATTTCTTTTTCTCGTGCAACGGAAAAAAAAAATTACTTTTAGATCAGAAGTGATGTATAATTTATAATTTTTTGAAGCAAATAAGTTTTATTGACTATAAGGATGGTATTATTCCATTATTAAATTTTTAGAAATTGCTATAACTTTTGAATGAATACTCCTTAACATTTATAAGACTTGATTGATTTTTGTATAACTAAATAATAAGGAAGGAAAACAAGATTAACGTCATTATACACCGAATTTAGGAAGTGTGTATTGCATGATTAAACTGTAAAAAAATTTTTAAAAAACCAATAAACTCATTAATTACTTCTTTTACGACAGATTTATGATTTGTCATTATTATTTTCACCATCCAGACAAAAATATCATAAACTAGTGAAAAACAATCAATGAGGCATAGTGTCTCTAAATAATAAACTTGAAAATTACACGAAATTAATCCTAAGTGAATTCGGATAGGTTTAAAAACAAAAAAAAAGTATTTGTAAATATTTTACACAATTTATTATCATGTTAAATAAGTCTCTAAATGACTTATTAATTCAGAAGAGCATTCTAAAATATGTTAATATACAGACAATTTCTAAGGTTACGTGGCCACCACCCACATGTATATCTATTGATGAACACGAGAATTTTTAATTATGAGGAATGTTGCACCACATTCAACTTGAAATGTGACCAATAGATTTATTGCACTTATCAAATTTTTTTGTTTTAAATACGTCTAAGTAAAATGGGGTTAATAATATAATATGTACTTGTCAAACCGTTCAATTTGATAGGAAGACTTTGTATAAAAGGTGTGTAATCCTCACTAGAGAAGCTGAAACGCGAGACTTCCCCTACTTAGTGGAAACCATTTAATAAAATCTGCCAATTTGCACTATTATTATTATTTACCAACTATATCGTCTATCATAATGTACTTAAATATAAGTTTATTTAAAAATGCGAAAACTGATAAATTTATTTAAAACACTTTTTATTTCCCATGATTTTTTAAATAGATTTACTTGAATGTATTGAAAACAAAACAAAAAAAAAACAAAAATGGACATTTTATGAAACATTACCAATGCCCAAGTCTGTGGATGAAAATACGCATACAAATGAAAATTTAGACACATAGTTACTTGACCAATTTTTTTACAGTATCAAAGCCGTTGAAGATGAGTGTTTTGAGAATTTTCGCGGCTGTCGCCGGTTTCTTCACAGCACGACAATTAGCCGAAAAGGCCACGATTGATGATCTATTCTTCAGGCTGCACTACAGAACTACCACAGGTTTCCTCTTACTTGGTAGCGCATTAGTCACAGCTTACTCATTCATAGGTAAGAATTAGTGCTACTTACTTTTTCTTCTACTCATTAAATGTAAAGAGAACAATAAAATATTTTCCGTTTTCTGTTCTCAAAAATTTTAAGGTGAGCTATAATAGATTGTTTCCTTTTGTAGTCTTTTTTTCAATTGTTATCCTGCATTGGTTGTAAAAAAAATTCTGTAAAAAGTAGTCACCATCTGTCATTTAGATAAAATTCATATGTATTCTTCTTATTATTTCAGGTCATCCTATGACATGTTTGTCAGATAGCAGCGTGTCTCATATAATGACTCTTTACTGCTGGATCACGTCCACGTACACCCTACCGACTAAAGATGGACTAGGTACCGAAGGAGTCGAAAAGTACCATTCGTACTACCAGTGGGTGCCATTCGTGCTTTTCTTCCAGGGTATCTTATTTTACGTGCCCCACTGGATATGGAAACAGTGGGAGAGCAACGAGATACAAGCCATATCCGAGGGTATACGAGGTTTTACCAAGGACTCGAAAGCTGATCGAGCCTCCCGTACGGAGCAGCTAGCACAATACATTTACCAGACTATGAGGGATCGCCATTCTTATGCGGCTGTATACTTTGTTTGTCACATTTTTAACTTCGTCAATGTGGTAAGTCTTACGCCAACTCACTTGTTTGATCATGAATTTTTCATAAAGCTGGGATAGTGTTTAATTTCTCTCGCAACATTGACAAGTAACAAACTCGTAAATGAATTATTCTGGAGTAATACATGTCCAAAACTAAATTATAACTTTTCATGGCTCTAGTTAGCTGACGTTTCGTACTTTTCGATTCTCAATAGCTGCATGAGTGTACGGGTAATTTTCTATCTAATATTGTACTCTTCATCGTGTACATGTACAGGAACAAATGTGTTTCCTAGGTTTAACCAACACACAAAAGTACAATGGAGAATGGAAAAAAAAAAAATGAGAAAAGGATATTAATCGAACACGTTGCATCTTCAGTCGTTACCATTAAAATTTTGCAAAGAAAAAATGTCTTATTGCTGCACGATTATCATAATTATTTAAGAACTTTTTACTCAACTTCAAACAATAGAATCATCAACTTTGATATGTTGTATTTAAGGTAACCAACATCTTCATGATAGACAGTTTTCTGGGCAACAGCTTCTTGAACTACGGCATAGAAGTATTTCAGTTTATAAATCAGGATCCAGAAACACGCGACGATCCAATGATCAGGATCTTTCCGCACTTGACCAAATGCAAGTTGCACCCTTACGGTCCATCGGGTACAACAGAGACTCGCGATGCTCTGTGTGTCTTGGCCCTCAATGTTATGAACGAGAAGATCTACATATTCCTGTGGTTCTGGCTGTTCGGACTCGCTGTCGTGTCTGGATTTGCCCTCATCTGCATGACAATCGTGCTTTTTCCTGTTTGTCGTAAGCTCGTGGTCAATCGGTTGTTTCAGTTTAATTCAAAGATAGGTACCGATATTTTGGTCAAGAAAACTCAGGTGAGTCACTTCTACAAGCTGAATCTACGTTTTACTAACAATCCACGAATAAAAAATACGATGCCATCCTATTGCTTATCACATTTCTTACTTCAATTTTAAATGTTTGAGTCATACTAAAGTAAAAAAGTTTTGTCATCAAAATAGTCTATTTTTGTGGATGATCCTGTAGAGTAATGGGTAAACAACTTTTGGACAAAACGTACGATCACACACATGTTAGTTTAATCATAAATTGCACTTACAATTAAATCAATAACGTACCAATTTATCTGTTATTTGCATGTTAAAAGTAAAAATAATACACTTACGTCGAAAATGCATATGTAAAGACAGTCTCGGATCTGATAGTGAAAATTTTTCATACACATCAATGCGTACACTTTTTTTACCAATTCGATCAAAAACATGTAATAATAGTGAGGGTACATTTTCGGTTGAAGTATGAAAAGTGAATTCACTTCAAATACTAGCATTATTTTTAAAAAAAAGTTGACAAATGTCAACCTAATAACATTAACATATCGTAAACTTTCAGATTGGTGACTTTTTGTTGCTCTACCTGTTAAGCCAGAACATCAACAGAACGGTTTTCAAAGAGGTGTTGGAGAGTTTGGTCAACTTGTTCAATTCGAATGCTTCGACCTTCAGACCAATGAGAACTTAAAAGAACTATGTTTTTTAACTACACCCGAAACGGTGAAAAATCACATAATAGAATTCATACACTTTTTTTGTGTTTCTTCACTATATGTTTCTATTGTTAAGAAGGTTCGGTAAATTCATCGAAATGTCACGTAATATCTCAAAATTATGTATATGATAAATTATGCTCATTAAAATAGTAATGAATGATGAGTTATATTATAGTCTCTATCATGGTTTTGAAGCTTACATTAACTTTGTCCGTAGAATGAAGTACATTTTAAGTTTGATCTGTAGGCTGGCGTAAAAACATTACGATGGTGACAAAATATCAATAATTACAAAAAAATTTCGAATCGAAGTAAAATTAATTCATTTTAAAGTGTATTTTTTCATGAATATCCTTAAATTTAGATATCAAATACTCACCATTTAGCATACATTCTGTACATATCAAAATAAAATATTTTTAAAAAACGCAGTACCAAGATGGGTACTAAAAAATTTTTTGATAATGTTAGGATGTAAAAACTTGAGCACTTATTTCTTCCAATAACAAAAATAAAAAATGCATCCAACAGTGCCATATATTTAAATTATATGAATCGTCAAAAGTAACAGCAAGCTACTGAATCATAATTTATTTGCGTACCTAATCATGAAAAACACATGTCTAATAGCAAAATAGATCAAAAAAAAAAAAAAAATCGATGAAAAAGAAAAAAACTTGTTAAAATAAAACGGGAGTTCATTGCACTCCACTGCCACGTACAGCTGATATGCTCATTTTTTTCACAGCAATGATTTTGCATTGCATTGTTTTGCCGCATTGAATTCAAGGAGGATATTACTCACCGATTTCCCCAGTCGACCTTGTTGATAATCTGGAGCTTGAGCTCGCGCGTCTGGTCGGTCGTGAGCGTGCCGGCGAGCAGCTGTCGACGCCACTCCAGCAGTTCGCACATGACCTTTCGCAGCGTGTTGAACTTGTACGTCTCCCGGTCCTATAATGCATATGCAATAAATAAATTTTTCTTTTTTTTTACACATTTTAGTCAATTGCGTATAATTACTGTTGAAATTAACGATAAACACTTTTTTTTAATATTTATTTTCATATGACTGAAGCATTTTTGTTTGCCGTGCAATTGGTTGAACAGGTGTATAGTGGATCGCAGTAAAAATTAAAATGGAATAATTTTGCAATATAAATGTAATCGAGAGTAATGCTATTTAATTTTCTTATACTCTAGGAAAAATGAGACCAAAAATATTCTTGGATTAGTTAAAATGAAATAAAATTATACGTAAATTTTTGAATGTCTCTTTACACTATGTTGCATATATTTTTATTTAAAAAAAAAAGTTAATAAAATCATCGCTTGTTTATTTATATGATGGAGCTTACTTCTAGAGTTATATTATTTAAAAAAAAGGTTTCCATAATTAGGAGCAATGTACCTAAGGTTGCACAGGTCAGATTTAGTATGTATATTCTACAAAGACCAAAAATAAGCATGAATACAATAAGTGACTTTACATTTTCTTCTGATAGTGAGGTGTATGCTTATTAAATAGTAAAAGTGACGATAAAAGTAGCCATGACAATTTATATCATGTAAAGCACATTGAGCGTAACCAGTTATGTAAAAACGAAATTACGTGTATCCACTTTTTAGTGATTAACGATTTTCTTAATTTTACGATAACTGTCATTTTGAACGAGTCGATAAATTCGAAGGGAAAAACTATTTTGTTTTATTGGTATTGGATAATTTATTTGATTTTTAATCAATAAACAATTCGTCATTTATTCCACTTTACCATGATTTGTTACAAGCTAAATGTAAATCGACGGCTTAAGAAAATCCTTGAGAAATGGGTCTGATAATCGTGATATCATTTTAATATTGTCAAATTTACGGCCATGTCACGATTAATTTTTCTCAAGAGAATTGTAATTGATTGTTTCTCAGTTATGATTGATATCAAATATCTTTCCTTCATTTTTTACATCTTTCCTTTGGGTATCTGACAACTCAGCGAGACAAAATAATAATTTTTTTCGTTTTCTCATGGCAAAAATTATTTCCCAATAATACTATGAAAAATAATGCCAAGCAAAACAAACCACGTATAGTTTCTTCCAAATGCCACCCCATTCTCTCAAGACTAGTGTGACTTCTCGCACGACTGGATCCTCGAGAGGTATGACCGACTCGAACAGCCCTTCGTTTTCGATTTTGCATGATTTCAAGTGTACGTAGGAATTCGGAAATATTCCCTTCACAGTGCGATTTTTCGTCGAAAAGCCTCTGTACCATCCTGCAAAAGCATAAATAAAATTATACATACAATTTTTCAACTCGAAAACATACTGTGTTAGTTTCTTTTAATGTTTTAGCAACATAATTCAAGTGCTTGAAATTTTACAGATTTGCATATCTGCGTGACTCAAAGCTGCTAATATATGCGTACTAGTTGAAAATCAAACCATATGTGACCACCCTTGCAACTTTGAAAAAAAAATTAAACAAAAATTCCCGAGTCACCCTACCAAAATCGTGCCATACATCAACAGAAAACAATACCATATACATACCCGCACATTCTTCCAAGATCTGGAGGGTCTCGCCAATTTCGAGAGGCAGACCGTAGCGCGTGTCGCCCCGCCAGTTGTAAATAGCTGCAACAAAAAAAAAGAAAAGAATTGTATGTCAATCATCACTTGGTGATCTATGTTTATATTAGGCTTTAGAGGATACTATAAATAGGTGTACCCAACAGCGCAACTCTAATTTTACACTAAAAATAATATAAAGAAACTACTGACGAAAAATATCGGGGTATTGATGTTAATTTTGACAAAATGAAGCTTATTTTCTATATATGTAGTTTACCATATAATATAGTTTACCATAGATAAATCATGTCCATCCACAAATTAATTTGGTATTCATAATGATTCCCCTTAAACTTTTTAATGAAAGTTAGGTCACAGCACTCAAATGTACAGGTATTGTAAAGTATGTAAACACATTCATACGTATATTAACGAGAAAAAATTTCAGCATAGCTAGCATGGATTATCAACTAAAAGTATTAATAATTTCGTATTTTCAATTATCTATATTCTACACGCAACATACACCTAGCCAAGCTGGTATTCGGCTCCGGAAACATCGTTATCAGCACAACCCTAAAACTCACGAATGAATTTACAGCAACAGTTCAAATGGCTCGCCTAAAAACAACAACAATTGAATTTTCCATTAACAAGGTCGCACAAGTGCCCCATAGGCATTGGAGTTTGTGATAAACGACTCATCGTTAACGCACTCGTGCGGATATTATTACAAGCACAATGTACCTATGGTTGGCCCTACCCCATTGATGTTCGATTTATACCCACGTAAATTAAATCGTTTGTGCACTGGACTGGTTGTTAATAATCATCCCACCCACGTGATTTAAACAAAAAGAAAGGTAGACTAGGTATCTCCTCGACCCAGAGGATTCTGTGCGCAAATTGCGTATATGGTAAAAGAAAGTCACCAGCTCAGTGTCGTCGATACCCTGCACATTCGAGATATTGTGTCGGAACGAAGGTACTTATATACGCGCGTCAAAAGGAACAGAAATGGAAAGAAAAAAGAGAGAGAGGGAGTCAATGTATGGACTGGGAGAAAGAGAGATAACGAGAGACTAAAAAGGCCCAGAAGCGAGAGTGTACATAGAGACCGGAAGCGCGACGGAATACGAACTTCCGGCCGGCGTATATATACGGCACATAATATAATATATGCGCACACGTGCAAACGCTCCCTCACAGGAGTCCATAACTTTACTGCTCTCTCTCTTTCTCTCTCATGGTATTGTATGCGTATACAGAGGAGTAGGCGCGCAAGATGCATCTCAATGAAATGGGAACCAACGCACATAGAGCGTCGTCGCAAGCTCATATCATATATGTGCATGTGGACACGTGGTACGTACGTGCCCTCTCACTCCTTTTTCTCCTCTCAGCTTCGCTTGGACTCTCGGAACACACCACATCCTGTCTACTGCTTCAAGAGTACATGCCGGAATCTGCGAAAAATCGGGAGATCGAGGAATGAAAGTTGGTGTGGCCTAAGGGGTGTTTTTTCATCTTAATGGGGGGGAAAAAAATGGGAATAATGTTCAAGTTGCATCGTAGATGTAACTCAGTTTAGAAGAAAGCTCGACCATCCGCTGATTGGAAGCTCCCACCACGAGCTTTACGTTGTGCCAAGATGGAGTTAAAAGTTGCGGATGATTCAACCTCATTAGTCAGTTTGGAAATACGTGAAAATCTAGTAAGTATAGCTCATTCAATCGTCAATCAAATTACCACACGTTTAATCCTAATTTGAATCGCCCATAGCTTTAGTCTCAAAAGCTCAGACCGCAGATTTTTATCGGTGCTTTTGGTTATCATTTCAAGCAAGTGGTCTCATTTCATCCCACATCGAATTACAACCAAAAGAGTAAAAAAAATTTTTATTTCCGATGACTTTGATCTTGTTACAATAATTTTCCGGATCAAATGGAAAGAGTTACCGTGAAACAAACTTATTTGACCATACGAAGCTGAAGGCAATAATTATACCTGAAGCAAAACTACACCTAAAATATTTGTAACCAGTTTTAGTTTCTTTCGCGTCTGATGATTTTTCGTGGATTTTACATGTATGAAGATTAATGATGGTATTTTGCGCGCAACACGGAAACATGTACATAATTATGTGAGCAGTGCTGAAAAAAAGTCATTAATTATGCAGATAAATTAACGCAATGATTACACGTCACTTCAACGTTGACATTCGTTTTTTATTTGAAACATTTCATGCTCATGAAACTTTGAGTTTGTATAGAAACGCTTTTTTAATTATAATTTTAATCAGAGAAAAATATGCATCATGTCTATTAGATAAATTTGATACTGTGAATTAATTTCTATAATACTCACACATAAGCTCTTTTAACGTAACTTTTATTGAAACATTTTGCTGTGAAAAGAGCTTTCAAATTTTTGAAATACCCGTTTTTTCATACTCAAAAATAGTTTGGAAAACGTACGTTACATTGTAGTATTGATGTAGCAACTATTCTTTTTTTTTTTTTTTTTTTTTTCTTAATTCATAGGGCCTACAAGAACCAAATTTTGGTTTTCTCTTCAATCACATACATCGACATACATTATAGAGGTAGTGATTATTTGAAGAATCGCTCTTATATACAACCGCACACACCGACCCAGCAGCCTCTTATACCTCCACACGTGTAATACTTAAATACGTCGGCGTACGACTGTTTCTTGTTAAATGCTCGAATAAGTATGCAGCGATGAGGGGGCCGTCTTGTTTTAATAGATTACGTAGCTGTTGAATTAGATTGCTCGTACATAGGGAGACTGGCTCGCCAGGGTCAACATTTGGTTAATGTAAGCAATTTTCACTCGCATATCTTTTTTTTTTTTTTTTTTCTTTTCCAGATCGGATAAACATTACGAGCGAAGAAAGAAGTTCTATTTCTCGTCATTCGCGTTGGGATCGAGTTCAGCGGGAGAAAAAACCCGACAGGCGGATGTGTTGCCCATATGGGATTGCCGAGGAATTTGTCGAGTCTAGAGCGTTTGAGGTGAAATTAAATCGGCTCTATCGGTATTTTTGGATGTTTTCGCAAGCGATGCTTGTACTTCCAATCGCAAACTGTTAAAAACAAAGTCATCGAAAGCCATTTGAAGCCACGCAAAGTTTTTGAAACACTTTGAGGAATAATCAGCTTCTACTGGGACTACAGAGTACGGAGCTCCTGGTAAGGAAAAAAGCTCATCGCGAATCTCTATTATGGAATGTACGTTCGACTTTGTTTCAGTTGAAACCGTCCAACGCTTTCCAAAAGAAAATCGGACCGACTGTGACGTCCATATTCACAAGTGATTCATTAACAGCGGACGTTTCTTTTTTTTTTTTCTGCTCAGACAACTGAAAAAGACTCATTTACAAACATAATTAACGACGACTGTGCACGTGCGCGTTAACGTCGAATAAGTCAAGCGTACCACTTGACATCACTAATCCTTGCTTATGTTCTTTGCAGAAACAACACCTACAGCGTTGTTTTGTCGCAAACAACATTATGTCACACAAATTCTCTGTAGAGCCAAAAAAGCTCCAAAAAAAAAAATATATATATTTATTAAAAATACCTATAGTTACCAACTCGTCGCGCAAGGCGCAAAAGTTTAATCATACCAAGCAAGCTCTACTTCAGCGATAGTGTGCGATATAGCGTAGCTGCGAGAGCGTACAATTAACGTGACCATTTGAGCGCGGCAACAACGTGCCAAAGCACGTGTTTTTCTTATCGTCCCACTTGTTCCTCCTCTTCTATATATATATATATATGTGTGTGCACAACAAAAGCCCACCGAGTGGCAATTTTTTCTTCCTCGTCTCTTTTCGAAAAATAATCTTCCCCCCCGGTTTCTTTGTACCAACAACAACACTAGAGCAGCGGTAAAGACCTAATGGGCGCATGTACGCTATCGTACGGCACTAATGGCTCGCTCGCTACTCGTTCACTTGCGGCTGTGTACGACATAGCCTCGAGATAAGTGTGTCAATGAACCGACAATGCCCGTACTTGTGGGATCTCAGATGTGCTATGATACGCCGTACACATATATTTTTGTCCTCGAGGTGGAGCGATTCCCTCTTGGGCTTTTCTACATGATTATTTATACGTTTGGGGCACTGAGGTATTGCTCCTCCTCCCTCGATACACGAAAACAGTAGACTGTTTTTTTTTTTTTTTGTTTTTTTTTGCACAAATTATTTGCAAATACTACATTCATGGTTTTAAGGAATTGGGCCATTGTTTAAACAGCAACGTTTCTGCCTTTTTGAAATACAAATCAGATGACTATGGCTACGAAAATCAATTACTCAATCATAAAAACAATAAAGTAGTAGTAATTGAATTTTTACTGAAAAGGGTTGATTCAATCATTGAAAAATTGTTTCAGCAGTGAAAGTTTCTTTTGAGGAAATTTAAAATTTATTTGCGGGGTCCTGTTTAATTGAAATATACTTCTATCTGTTGCTGGTGGACTGCCAAGCGACAAGAGATTTTTGCCTTTTAAGAATAGTGTTCACAAAAAAAAGCCACCAAACAACCGGATAAGCTCTAAAAGCCGTTTGACATCAAAAGTAGACCAACTGCATTTCTACACCTTTACGGAAGGTCAGTGAAATCTTGGGCGATTTCTCTGAAGACAAAAACAATCGTCAAAATCGGGAAGTAGATCCTACCTTGTTGATTTCGCATTGTCCAAATGAGGATTTGTACTTGAAGCGAACTGGCACAATCAAGTAAAAGAAAAAAAAAAAAAAAAAAGATTTTTAAATTCTATTAGCTTTTGGTGCACAATTCATATGTGTTTTTATTTTTTAATATATAGGTATCTGTGATTCTATGTACCTCTTCATGTTAGATCGTAATTAGTAATAGTTTTGTGAATGTATCTTTAATTTATATTCTTATTCCTTTATCATAAAGTTGATTTTTTTTTCCAATCACCCAAATCACATGTATTACGATACTGTTCTGATCGCTTATTTATCTCGTTCTTTAGATTTGTCTCAAGTGATAGTCCGTACG